TTTTTTATTGATTTTTAATTTTTAGAGAGGAAGGGAGAGGGGGAGAGAGAGAGATGGAGAAACAACAATGTGAGAGTGAAACATCAATCTGTCTCCTGCATGGTCCCCTACTGGGGATTGAGCCCACAACTGGGCATATGCCCTGACTGGGAATCGAACCAGCAAACTTTTGGTGCACAGGGCAATGCCCAACCAACTGAGCCACACTGGCCAGGATGCCACTTATATTTGAGCCTGTTTCTTTTTTGAAAGTTGGGAATAATAAAAATAAATAAGGGAGCCTGCCCGGGCATAGCTCAGTGGTTAAACATCGACCTAGGATCCAGGAGATTGGGGTTCGATTCCCGGTCAGGGCACATGTCCGGGTTGCGGGCTTGATCCTCAGTTGGGGGCATGTACAAGGCAGCCGATCAATGACAACTCTCATCATTGATGTTTCTCTCTCCCTTCCTCTCTCTGAAACAAAGATATATTTAAAATAAAATAAAACAAATACATAAAGGAATAATAATAATTGCACAAGGGCAATGCATATTATGGGGGGTGGGAGTGGTCCTGTTAAGTCCTTAATCCTCTATGACCAGAGAGCACTTCACAATGTATTCTTGGCCTGCTTTTCCCCATGCTCACGCTGTGCCAGGTACAAGGGGACTGGGGCCAGAGTGGGATAACAAGTTCACTTCTCAGCCCACAATGAATGCCTCCAGGCATGAACTTGAATAGAAAGGCAGATGGGAGCCTGCATTTTTAAAAGAACTTTTAAACATTTTTTAAGGTGAAATTCACAAAATCGACCATTTTAAAGGGAATGATTCAGTGGCATTTAGTACATTCACAGTGTTGTTCAACCATCATCTAGTTCCAAAATATTTCCATCACTCCAAAACGGACTAAATCAGTCTCCCCATTCCTTTTTTCCCAGCCTCCTGCAAACCACCAATCTGCTGGGGATTTTTTAGTATTTGTAAAAATTAAAATTAATTTGCATTCGGTAAAATTCACCGAAGTTTTGGTTGAGTTTTGACAAATGTGTACACTTGTGTAACCACCACCACAATCATGATACACATTCCCTCATCCCGCATTCCCCCCAGGTCCCTTTGTGCTCCACCCAGCTCTAGGTAACCATTGATCTAGCCCTACAGGTTTGCCTTTTCCAAAATATAAGTGGAATCATACAATATTTAGCATTTGGAATCTGGATTCTTAGCATTGTATCTAATTTTTGGGGTATATCTGGCTAAATTTACATAAGTTGAATACATGTCTGAGTGGAGGGACTTATCAAGAATCTGTACTTCCCAAGGCCAGTCCAGCGACCCCTTTTGGCCAGGTGCAGGGCGCGCCGCACGGGCTCCATGCAGTTCCTGAGAGGGTCAACAGAGAGTGCCGGCGACCCAGCACACCTGGTCCTGCCACGGCGGAGGCTCCTCCTTCCGGTGCCGCCCCGGACTCTGCAGTTTCTATAGACCAAAGGCGGGGCTTAGGGTGGGGCCAAGGAAAGTCCCCTTCCCGGGATCGGCAGCGGCGCGCCAGGAGGCCGTAGGCTGTCACACCAGCAGGCAGCGGAAGTCGGGGGTGCGGCCCCTGGCCCCGCCCATTTCCGGAGTCCCACCCTCCCGTCCGCCGCTTCGGCGCGCATGCTCTTTGTCACCCCAGGCCGTCTGGCGCGCCGTCCTCTGGCCCCGCCTCCGCTCCCGCGCCGGGAGGCGCGCTCACGTACGCCCCGCGCGCAGGCGCTTCAAACGTGCGGCTCCAGCGTGTCTTCCGCGCGGAGGCGCTCGCCGACTTCCTTCCGCAGCGGCCAGCCCAGCCAGAGGACGCGCAGTGTGGCGCCAGGCGGTGGAGCCCGCGCTGTCGGGAGGAAGTTCGGAGCGGCGCACACGTGACTTACGACGATCTGGAGGCCGCGGTATAAAATGTGGCATTAATTTTAATAACGTTATTAATTTTAACACAGAGTATCCGAAACATTGTTGTGTCAGCACAAATGAGGAATGTAAGAAACCACACGCTAGACGCTGGGTGTCCTCGCCTCCGCCATGGGTCCAGGGCCCGGTCAGTGGCCACTCGTGGAGTAGCGCAGGTCCAGCCCTGGGAGCACATGGTGGTTAGAAAGTGCACAGTGTCCTGCACCAGGGCAGGAATAAGAAGTGGAGAAGATGTGGGAATGTTACGGAACTCATGGGGTTTGCTGCTTGGGTTGCTCTACTCAAAAAAGACGGGGGTTATCCTGAGGTAGTTTTATTTACTTGCAGCAATCAAAGGAGATGGGGTTCATATCCAAAGATGTGCCACCTTCAGGGGAGGCTTGGCCATTGCTTGTATACACTATTTGGTCAATTGTATGTTGACTTCTTTGAAGTTGGCTACTTTCATTCCTTGATTTCCTGTTTGCTCATCCAGTTTACAGCTGCAGCTACAAAAGACTGTGCTACATTTTAACATTTAGCAAGAAGTAACATTTAGAACTGGCCAGACCTTGAGACCCTTGTCCTATCTAACAGGAAGGGGTTCATAGAGGATTTCCTATACTAAGAAGCTTGGACTTTATTTTTTGTGAAAGGGAGAGGGGCCTAGGAGAGACATGATGAACCCAACACTTAACAAAACCATTTTTAAAAACCTTTCTTTGCTTAGTTGATGTGGCTCAGTGGTTGAGCATCAACCTATGATCCAGGAGATGGAGGTTCCATTCCCTGTCAGGGCACATGCCGGTGTTGTGGGCTCGATCCCCCAGTAGGGGGCGTGCAGGAGGCACCGGATCAATGATTCTCTCATCATTGATGTTTCTTTTTCTCCCTCTCCCGCTCTCTCTGAAATCCATAAAGACATATTTAAAAAACAAAACAAAAAAACCAACCACCCTTTCTTTGAAGTATTTACTGTATAATGTACATTCAGAAGAGGGAGCATAGTTTGTGTTTAGTTCTGTGAATTTTCACAAACTGAATATACAACCATGTAGCCAACATCCCACCAAACCCTCAAGTAGTTTTGTCACCAGAAAGGGGACTTGGCCCTTGAATTCATGCAGGAAAAATTTCACAGCATGAGTCCAGATGACTATGAGGGAACGTTTATTAAAGCTGGGGACAGTAAAACAAGAAAGGGCTTAGCATAGAAGAAGCATCAGGAGAGCCTAGGCTGGGCTGCCTTAGCTCTCTGGGAATTCAGAGAAAAGGGGACCTTGGGAACCGTTTCAGGGTTTAGCAGGGGACGAGCTGCCGCTGCCTATTGCTCCCCTGGTTGCAAGCCTCGTGGGATATTTTAGAGTCTGGGAGATGCATGCCTGTGGGGGAAGAAGTGGAGAGAAGAGGGGAAAGGGAATGGTGGGGGCTACTCCCCAGAGGGAGAGCACACACTATGTCCTTTGTCTTGACCATTTTATCTCTTTCAGGCAGGAATCTTAGGGGAGGTCTCTGGGGAAGGTTTTAGCAGAATATTCATAACTTTTCTAGGTATACTTCTTCAGGGTCGTGGTCTTCACTGATTGATCAGTGCCAGGGCAGGGGGTTGTTAGTCACTGCAGCTCATCCTGGTATCTCCTGCCTGGTTTTACTGCTTTTCTGCATCTGGAGCTGAAATATGACTGAGGCCTAGATGTTATCTCTAGGGAGGTAGCCTTCTGTATCTGCTGCAAATTGCTTGGCCAGTTTGTTCAACTATCTGTCTATTTCCCTATTCCATTTGTCCTGCCTTACTGGCCTGTCACAGTTTGTCTTTTAAAACTTTTTTTAAAAATTTGGGAATAAATAGCCTTAGCCACTTTGGCTCAGTGGTTAGAGCATTGGTCTGCGGACTGAAGGTCCCTGGGTTTGATTCTGGCCAAGGGCACATTTGGTTGCAGATTTGATACCC